TATATTTTATTTTATTTTATTTTGTCTGTCCATGCTAAGTATCTAAAATGTGGCTTCAATTTTCTTGTTCACATCTCTCTGTACAAGTAAGGCATTATGTATAATATCTGGTGGTAGCCAGGACATTTTATTTTCCTTTTATTGACTTCTTGTGAGCTGAAATCTAATTTGGAAGCAGAGATCCTGCTCTAGCTCATTAATTATAGCCAACCAGCACCATTTTGTAAATCACAGCAGAAATTTGGCCCATTGCACAAGAAGTGTGTTGTATCAAGCTCTGCCAAATTATTAGTACAGAAAGCTTAATGACAAAATAAATATGATACACTCTGAATAATTAAAACAATTTTTTAACAGATTTAATTACAGATGCAAGAGCCTCGCTCCAGATTTGGATCCTGGCAGTAAGAAATCTGACTGCTATCTTGGGAAAAAGCCAATCATAATAGGCAATACTGGATTGCCATCTGATTTGGTATGCAGCAAAATTATACTTCTAGCAATATATTTCTGTACAGATTAACTGAATGATTTTGATTCAATGTAAGTAATATAGTTGCACATACCATCTCAAAGCTCATCAACATAACCTTCAATCTATCTATTTCTTCTTGTAATTCTCTAATCAGTTTCACATTTGCATCCTGAAAAATTAGAGGACAATGCACTTTTTAAAAAGCAAGGAAGCAATTCATTGCTTCTAAACAATATTTATTGGACATTTCTTGGCATTACCACTCAATATATTATGCCCTCCCAACTACCAGGAAAGAAAAAAAATCAAGGACTGCACAACATTCTTACTTCTCCCAATACTGAATGTATAAATTAAATCTTCTTCCCTCTCAAAATGAGTCGATTACTGGGAACAGCACACGTAATAAGTAAATATATGTTGAAAGCATACTTTACTATACAGGTAGTCCTCACTTACTGACTGATACCCAGATAATAATATATTTATTTAACCTTGGTCAAATAAACCAACTTTATATTCCTTCCTTTTACTTTTAACAATATTGATTAGAACGGTGATTTTGGAAAGTTACAAACAGACTAAGGACTAGATGGATTTGTTCTGAATTCTTACAAAAATTCTTACAAAAAATATGATAGGATGGGACTTTGAAGGTTGGACACTGGAGGGAACCAGAAGGAACTAAAGATTATAATTAAAGGAGAACAACACTTAAATTTAACTTACTAATAGAGAACGGAGCAAACATTGAAGGATATTTGTGAATAATGGATCCAGAAGTAAATTTTAAGAGTGTCCACCATTATATATAGACTATCTTTAAAAGATGCTATGGAAGAGGAACAAGTTTTACCGATAAGACTGAGATTGATTTGAAAGTGGATTTTAAAATGACAGGCTATAAAAAAGATATAGAAAAAGATGCTATCCTGGACATACAAAGGCTTGTTAAAGTTTTAAAGGATTTTGCGAAAATGAAATCAAATTCTACAACATTATTTGAAGGTATTGCTATTTGTGACCTTCATAGCCAGCTTCCGACAAGCAAAGTCAATGGGGAAGCTGGCAGCAAGTTGCGAGTTGCAGTCACGTGATGTCACACTTAACAACCCACAGTGATTTGCTTAATGACTGCAGTGGGACTGACGTCATAAGTCCAGTGCAGTCACATACATTTCACTTAATGTCTGTGTCGCTTAGTGACAGAGTTGCTGGTCCCAATTGCAGTCAGTAAGTGAGGACTACCTGTAATGAGTTAGGAAAAAAGGCCACACTAAAAGAACTATCAATATTTTAAAGTATACATAAAAGCTATATAAACAAAAATGATATAATCCTTTAAAGCAGTTAACAAAAATGCTTAACAAGAAAAAAAATAACACAAGGTAGCTCACCTCATTTACCCGAGGTTTGTTAATAATTTTTTTGGCATTTGAAGCATATCGCAAGGTGTTCACAGTTTCATTATAGCAACAGCTTGCAGGAGAAATAGCTACAGATGGAAAAAGAAAATTACTAAAGAAATGTAAAATGTGTTTTAGATATTTTGAGTGCAAAACTCATTTGGATTTTATTCTTCTACCCAAGAATAATATGAGATGGTAGGATACTCCTTTCATGCATGCAAATCACCAGAAATTATCAGCAACAAAAACTGCTATGTTTGGAAGAGGAATTAACTTAAAGCAGTAATGGTCTTTGTGTGGTTACTTTCCTGAACCCACAGTTCTATCCAAGATCATCTAGTAAATCCTTGAGTAATTTGGGAGTTGGAGCCACATTTTAGATGCCTATTTATGCTATAAAATATATTTGAGCATCTAATAGCTTATTGGCTAAAGGTTGATGATGTTAATTCAGAGAAGAATAGTTGAACCAAATAATAACTTTTGCCAAAGTAAACTTTGTTGAAAATATGGGTAGGTGATCTTTCTTTGCAACAGGTGGTCAAACTTTTTCAAGTCAGTCTCTTTGAAATAGATAGTTAAGCCAGTAGGCAAACAGATTTGTACTTTTTAGAAAGTATGAGACAAAGTTATGCCTCCTCCAAAGCAGATCAATTTAGCCATGATGACACATGCCTTAACTACTGGAATGTCTGTGTTTGAAAATTTTCTACAAATTTTAGCTTATCCATTATTTGGTAGTGATGGCTGCCTGCCCTAAGGAGCAAATGGCATTGATTACACAATAACTGGGTAGGTTTCTAGCACAATTTAAAAGTATGGTTGGTAATGTAAACTCCTAAAAGTCTTTGTTGCAGTAAACTTACAGATCATCTACTCCCATATACCCCTGTCTGTTCTTTAAGATCGGTTAGAGAAGCATTTCTCCAAAACCCACTGGTTGCAGTGATATTTCTGGCTGGAATGCAAGAAAGAAATTTCCCCAAGACAATGCCTAATTCATTGATTTTTTTTATTTTAAATATTTTTTATTTTGCCTCCCTATCTGTTATCTAATCAAAACATACTGCAGTAGATAATTGGTTTGCTGTACTGATTGCGTAGCAGATTATCTCCTGTTTTAGGCTATTCCTACTTCTTTCTTCCTTATATTATTAACAGTTTATGTAGTTTTAAAAAAATATTTGTTGCCAGATCCCTGCATTTTATAACTACAGTATAAGGGCAGCATATAAATCTTTTGAAATAAACAGTAATATCTCACTAGGAACTACTGATATATGTAAAATACAATTCCATATTAAAGTTTATACTGTGACTGAAAGCCCCTGCTCAGTTATTTTCAGTTACATACCTTTCAAAGAGACATTACATTCCGCTTGGGCAATTAACTGAATTTTGCCTTTAGGAATATTTAACAGATGACCATCCCTGAAAGCAAAGCAAAACTTTATACTTACTTGCAATCATTATGGTCTTGGAATTGCCACCCAGACTATCCTTCAGAAGCCAAGTAAGAATGGAATCCCGATATGGAATATAAGCTTGACGCTTACAGCTATTGATATTGGGTCCACAGTAACTGTCCATACGGTTACCGTCCACTTCACTGGCTATACTGCTGATGCTCTGGCTGCTGCTGAACACCTGAGTGTTTTCAGCTAAGAAGCACAAAAAAAAAAAAAGGTCAGATTTATACAGTAAAAAAAATATTTATTTATTTATTTCAAGCGATCCAAAACTCTTTTTCAAGCTGTAGTAATTTTGAAGCAGTCCAAGACTAAAAATATACTGTTCTGTTACTGCATAATTATGGTCCTTTGACCACAGGTTTGGTAACATTTGAGGAGCCAAAGGTCACAATTCAGCCATCCACCCTTCTATAAAGATCAGGAAGCCATCAGATGATGCTGTAATATCATCAGAAAGGCACCCATCCCATGGGTGAAGGACAGTAGGAATGGAAGCAGAGGACCTTTGGGAAGTAAAATTGTACCATTCCCATCCTTAACCACCTCCAACAAAAAAACTGAAAAATGGGCTGAAATTACAGCACCAAAATTGGTGCTGGGACCCTATTACTTTAGTGTCCTCATGGCAAATGGTTGGTTGAAAAACTGGTAAATGGCAAACTTTTTACAAATACAAAATACAAATACTTTAATGACCAAGTATAAAATGTACACAAGGAATTTGTCTTTGGTGACGAACAGCAAGATCAACGGTGCGTTTGGATAGCAACAAAAAAATAATAAACAGTAACAATAACACTGCCCAATAAAATAACTTTTCCAAAAGAAGAAGCCACTGTCCAATACATATCAAATCATATAGTATTT